TTTCTTTGTCTAATGATGTTAAAATTGTGGGCATCAATAATGAATCTTGGTAAGACATTTAATTCTCTCAGGATTGTTTCATTGGTTGAATAAGTCAGTAAATAATCAATATATATATATATATATATATATATATATATATATATATATATATATATATATATATATATATATATATAAATATATATATATATATAAGGATTGCAACCCAATCAAGGCAATGAAGCCAATAAAACTCAAGGGGTTACTGAGTGTTAGAGAAAAAATGCTATTAAGGAGAGAGTACAAGAAAAGAAAAAGAATTAAGCAGACATAAGATAATAATTGGCATTAATACATTTTATCCTTCAAAAGGACTTCATCAGATTAAAATAGTTTTCTCATTAATAGAATTACAATTTGGAGTTGATTAGTACTTCTAGTACATTGCCAATAGGAGGTAAAAGACAGGAACAACTGAATAGGATATCCAACCATCCAGATAGCAAGAAGCTGGTAGTGGAGAGCTTGGATAGGACAGGGGCTAATTGAGGAGACAATTTCCTAAGGATAAGTGCAGGGATATTATCAAGTTCACATGCTTTTTTGGGATCAGATTTGTAGATGATAGTGTAAACTCTGGTTGGAATTGTATGCATATCACACAGTAGAGACTTACTTCTAAGTGAAAAGTCAAGCAAAGGAATACTTGATGATTTGAGAGTAGGATTGAAAGAAAATCTCTGGCAAAGTAATAGGCAAAAGAATATCAATAATAAACTATTCAAATGCTGGTGTATATATTAATTTAATTTAATTTAAACATATATATATATATATATATATATATATATATATATATATATTTATACATGTTTCATTAAATAATATAGACAAGTGTTGTCTATTTATTTTATGATTCTTCTCCCCCGGTTAGCGATTTGCAAAAAACCAACATAGTTTATAAATTCAAGTGCCCTTTGGGAGAGTGTATCTCCAACGAATTAAATAATATTTATGTTGGTCACACCACAAACTCGCTTTCACGACGCTTGACACTACATCTTAATGAAAACTCTAACATTTTTAGGCATTTAAAACAACATGCCTGCCCGCACACACAATTCCGTAAAATACTTGTCGAAAACACAACTATACTTCGACATGAAAACAATAGACAAAAACTAAAAATACTTGAAGCATTATACATCAAACAGTTAAAAAACCCAACCTAAACAAAATCAACTATGGAATCTCTACAAATATTCTTAAATGTCTATAATTTCAATAATTGGTAACAGAAGCCATTGGTTATACCAACGGCTTTCCTTATTTCATTCTCCAATTCACTCTCGTGTAGTCATGTGTGACGTCATGAGATGCGGTGCGATTTTCGCTTCTAGCGTCTTATATGCGCGTGTTCATCATTGCTTAGTGATCCACTATGTAAACATAACAATGACAGACTATATCATCACTGTCGTGTCCATATATTGTTTGATATGTTTGTATTTACATCTTTGATAATGGCTTGAGTAAGCCGAAAGCTTAGATTATATTAAAAAAATAATGGATAAATATTGTGAATTTCTTTTTTCGGTTAATGATAATGTTACCAAACTTATCAGAAGATACGAAAAAATTTTACATAAAATAAATAGACAACACTTGTCTATATTATTTAATGAAACGTGTATAAATGAAAATATGCTGCCTAAATACACACAATATATATATATATATGTATGTCTATAATTTTAAAGTATGCTATATTTATGGTTTAAAGTGATCAATATCAGGCATAGAGTGTATATAAATAAAAAAGTGTATGTGGATCATACATTTAATACGACAGGGAAGTTCACCATATATATATATATATATATATATATATATATATATTTATATTAGTAATTGTGTATATGTAGGCAGAAATCCTCCTTTATGAATGTTTCATTAAAGGCAACTGACAAGGTAATGTGATTGAGCTTTTTATTTAATTTTTTGTGTTTGTACAAATATATATATATATATATATATATATATATATATATGTGGAGAGAGAGAGAGAGAGAGAGAGGGAGAGAGAGAGAGGGAGAGAGAGAGAGAGAGAGAAATTTTTGTTAAAGTGTTTACCTTTCTGGATACAAAGTATGTAAAAATTGTCCCAAAAATAAAATTGCCTTTGCCAATGGCTACAAGAATAGCTGAAATTGCTCAGAAATGCAGGACAGTTCTTACACACATTGTGTCCATAAAAAAAAAAACTTGTACAAACACAAAAAATTAAATAAAAAGCTCAATCACATTACCTTGTCAGTTGCCTTTAATGAAACATTCATAAAGGAGGATTTCTGCCTACATATACACAATTACTAATATAAAAATATATATATATATATATATATATATATATATATATATATACATATAGTGAACTTCCCTGTCGTATTAAATGTATGATCCACATACACTTTTTTTATTTATATACACTCTATGCCTGATATTGATCACTTTAAACCATAAATATAGCATACTTTAAAATTATACACACACACATATATATATATATATATATATATATATATATATATATATATATATATATATATATATATATATATGGTGAACTTCCCTGTTGTATTAAATGTATGATCCACATACTTTTTTATTTATATACACTCTATGCCTGATATTGATCACTTTAAACCATAAATATAGCATACTTTAAAATTATACACACACACACACATATATATATATATATATATATATATATATATATATATATATGGTGAACTTCCCTGTTGTATTAAATGTATGATCCACATACACTTTTTTATTTATATACACTCTATGCCTGATATTGATCACTTTAAACCATAAATATAGCATACTTTAAAATTATACACACACACACACACATATATATATATATATATATATATATATATATATATATATATATATATATATATATATGGTGAACTTCCCTGTTGTATTAAATGTATGATCCACATACACTTTTTTATTTATATACACTCTATGCCTGATATTGATCACTTTAAACCATAAATATAGCATACTTTAAAATTATACACACACACACACATATATATATATATATATATATATATATATATATATATATATATATATCGGATAACATTTCCATCATTTTGTTATTAAATATCCCACATTATGATAATAGAAAATCTGCCAAGAATGGTAAAATGTTGTAAGAATGTGGAAACAGATTTTCTGTGGATGATCTAGTGATTAAAGCACTTTCTAAATATTTTTGTATTAGTAAATTGTTTCTTGTTTTAAACCTAAGTTGTGGTCAGTCTTGTTATGGTAAGCAACTAATGCATTTAATATGGTGTTTTGTAAAAGAACCCTTTTATGTTCATATAAACTTTTATTTAAATCCTTGAGGTTTCTTCAATGTATTTCTTGTACCAATTATTACAGGTAAATATCGTGAAGGAGAAATTTACTCAATTACCTGCAATAATTGATTGCCACAAAGAATAGATTATACCAGCTAGAATATATATCAGCTATAACTGGATCAATTATATATACAAAACACATGCGCAAACACATACACACACACACACATATATATATATATATATATATATATATATATATATATATATATATATATATGTATATATAAATAAAAAGAAAGAACAGTAAGATATGTAATCCAGTGTTCTTATAGATATTTTTATTTTTACAAAATAGTGCTCAATGTAAATTTACAGAGCATTAATATTATAAATTGATTTATTTAAAATATGGTGTAGCGAAAAAAACATATTTTAAATAAATTAAGAAATGGACAAAGTCCGACAATTTATTAAAGACATTTTTATGTTTAACATTCTTTTTTTGGTAAATGTTATTTAATACTGCTTATTATAAACAGAGCATTTACTTAAATACTTGTATCTATAAAAAGAATGTTAAACATAAAAATGTCTTTAATAAATTGTCGGACTTTGTCCATTTCTAAATGTATGACGTCATTTGTTTACATTTGATACGCCATGAGCAGTTATGAATGTACGAGATTCATGGAAGATTGAAGTTTATAAGCAGTAAATTCGACCTTGCCAACTGAACGATCCTTTGTGGCTGAGAGGTTAGGCATGTCAAGCTAAATGACGGTTCTGTGTAGGATGCAGGTTTGAATCCTGTCAAAGGACAAATATTTTCTATGAAAATTTCTTGGACATTCAGGCCGGTAAATGTTATTTAATACTGTTTATTATAAACAGAGCATTTACTTAAATACTTGTATCTATAAAAAGAATGTTAAACATAAAAATGTCTTTAATATATATATATATATATATATATATATATGAACCATCTGTTTGCAGATGTACATATTGTTTTTATATATATGCCTGACTATTTAATCTTCTACATTACATATTTTATATGTGTTCCATTTCTGGTTCATATTTTCTCTAATTATCTTGATAAAAACAGATCAGCACTATGGCCAATCTCTCCACCAATATATCTATTATTTTTTCTTTATGCATCAGCCTCACAATCTATCATTCTACTTACATGCACACACACTGCATGTGTGTGTGTGTGTGTGTGTGTGTGTGTGTGTGAGAGTCTGTTAATGTCTAGCTCTCAAGCAATCTCTGGACCTGCCTGTCTCTCTATCAACAATTATTTTCTTCATTCTGATTGAAGTTTGGGAATAATTGTCAAATAAAAACTTAAGCTGGCACAGAAAAACCCAAAAGGTTATGGTTGTCAGTAAGGGCAATAAATCTTGGATATTTATATCAGGTATGCAACTGATGGCTGGAGACAGGCCAACCCCTATATATTTCCATCTATGCAATTCTTCCAACCTAATTCATTGCCCATTTCATAAAATATCATTTATGTAGAATGTCTGGGTAGCTGTTTGTGGTCTCCACTAGATGTAGTTGTTCCTAAATAAAACACCCTACCCCATTCTACTTGCCTGGGTGAAACATTCATCAATACTTTTGGGGAGCAGTCTGAGGCATTATCTGGAAAAGAAGGAACAAGAATGAAGAGGAAAAATGGGGAGAGAAGTTGAGAGACAGGGTAAAATTGTAGGAAGAAAGAAGTAAGAGAAATAAAGGAATACAGAACAGGAGGAAAGAAATTGAAAAATGAAGTGAGTGATATGTAGTAAGAAAGAATGGAAAGAAAGATTGGGAGAAGAAATAAAAGGGCAAAAGAGAACGAGTGTAAGAAGATGCAACAAAGAGAGGATAAAAGGTGACAGTGAAATAAAAAGACAAAGATACAGAAAGGAAAAGTGTGGTCAAGGAAAAAGAAAAGAAAATACTGAGTGATATATAGGGAATATATGTCTGGAATTGAATCAGGGAATTTTGTAGAAAAAAGTAAAGTGAGATGAGATAAAAGACAGAAGCAGTAAAATAAAATTAAGAAAGCGAGACGAAGAGATAAAGAAAGAAAAGAGTGAGAATAATACAGAGAAAGAAAGAAAGAAAGAAAGAAAGAAAAATGTGGGAGAGACATAAATAAAAAAACTAAATTGAGTGATATAAAGAATAACAAGATGATTTGGAAAAGACATATTGTAAAAAGGAAACAGAAAGAGATAGAGATAGGAAGATGTTGCATTTGTGTTTGAGAAGGAAAAAGTTACAAAAAACTCAGAAGGATATACACAGGAAGTAACTGGGAGAGAAGAAATGGGAAAGAGTTTGAAGAATTGAAGCCACTAACAGACTGCCCACAGATATTGCACACACACACACACACACACACATATATATATATATATATATATATATATATATATATATATATATATATATATATATATATATATCCGGTCATCCATTGCTTTCTGCATTCTATTGATGATTCTTCTAGACTCGATGAATTAACTATCACACACACACACACACACACACACATATATATGCATATTCAGTTTTATGGATATAAATTTGTAACCCTGGGTTTCATGTTTTAGTGATCATCAGGCAACTGTCATCAGACAAGACCAAAAACAAAATTGTCTGATAATCGCAAAAGTGTAAAATCCAACGTTACAAACTAGTATCCATACAACTGAATATATTTGCTCTATCACAGATATTGAGCACTTTCCAATAAGTAATGCATGCACACACACACACACATATATGTGCGTGTGTGTGTGTGTGTGTTGCATGTGATTCAAGTAGATTGTAAATCATTGGTGAGGTTGTTAATGCAAAGTTAAGTAGCATCAACTGCTGTCACGAACTCATGGGAATATCTGGTAAGAATATATATATAAATGTTATAAATACTGTTTATTATAAAACAGAGCATTTACTTAAATATTTGTATCTATAAAAATGAATGTATAAACATAAAATGTCTTAAAATAATTGTCAGACTTTGTCCATTTCATAATGTGTGACATCATTTGTTTACATTTGGGTATGCTCTGAGCAGATATGAATGTATGTGAGAGATTCTTGGAAGATTCAAGTTTAAAGGCAGTGGCTTGATCAGTTAAGAGCATTTCAGGCTAAATGACAGTTCCGTATAGGATACAGGTTCAATTCCTGTGGGAGGATGAATATTTTCTATGAAAATTTCTCAGACATTCAGGCCAGTAAATGTTATAAATACTGTTTATTATAAAACAGCATTTACTTAAATAATTGTATCTATAAAAAAGAATGTATAAACATAAAATGTCTTAAAATATATATTTATTTATTTTAGGGCAAACTTATAACAAAGTGGAAAAAGTTTTCATGTGACTAAAGTTTACGTTGGTGCAGCTACATATGTGCATGAAGGAGAGAGGATGCTGATAAATTTAAATTATTTTTTTTTCATATATGTTTTGGATATATAGTCTAGCTGATTTCATTTGGTTCCATTTTCTTTCTGTTTACATTTTTATCACTTATTTTATTAAATATCTCACATTGTGATATTAGAAGATCTGCCAACAATAGGGAAATGTTGTAAGAACCCGAACATAAATTTACTATGTTAATGTGTGGAATCATGAATTCCACCCTTTTGCGTGTGTGCACATACGCGCGGACTGCACCCCTTCGTGTCACATTCAGCTAGATATAGTAGTAAATGCTGACGTGAGGGAGGTTGCTGGCTAGCTACTCCTGATACCATCTAAAATCAGAATTTGAATTTTTTCCCGCACATGTCCTGACATCACCGACGAACAGCTTTTTCAAGTTAGTTGCGGCCTGATTTTCAAGCTAGACGGTCAACTCATTTATTCCGTGCCCCTAACCCATACGCGGGCCAGAATATCTTATTCTTAACTAACCAAAACTTCAACATGTCGATATCACACTTTTCCAAGACTTATCCTCGTCTTGATGTGAACAGCATGTTGAACTTTCCTATGTTTTCAGATAGAAAATGTAGAGACTACGACACTCTCAGCAATATATTTTTCCAAGACCAAATTTCTCGTCTTGAAGTGAACAACATGTTTGAATCTACTTCATTTTCTACCAGAATCTACGACACTGTCGTCACCAAACTTTTCCAAGACCAAATTCCTCGCTTTGATGTGAACAACTCAGAATTTTCCTTCACTGAAGATTGATGAACTTTTCATACACCTCTTTTGTAATCTAACCTTTACGAACCAGTTTAAAAAAAAGATAACATTACACACACTTTATTAAACCTCGCAGTGAGTATTTTTCCTTGTTGTGTATGCTTACATCTTTTGTACAAGAAAACTACATTCCAGAACTTTCATTCTGAAGAAACTTTTCCCACCTTAACCATCTTGGTTTTTTCGTTTTGGCGTAGAACTTTAAAATTCTATTAATTACTACATATTACTAACTGCCTACAGGCTAAAAACAGATCTTACCTTTTCTGATAGTCTCCACTGTTGAGACAAGATTATTTGTTATCCAAATAAAATTTCATATATGTTTTCCACCAGACTCATTTTGTCGTTTAATCCTGGCTATCTATATTTTACTATTTTTGTGCATGTGTTAAATGACCCCTTTTCCTCACTAAAGATCACTCATTTAATATTTTTACTTTGTGGATTCGGTAGTCATAAGTAGTGTCTGCCACAAGGCCACCTTTTAATAAACAAGCACTGCACGCTACCGGGTCCGCAACAAATGCATATCAGCTTGCCTGGCAGTCAGTCCCTAGGTCAGGTCATATATTTGGAATGTGTGGATGAAATAGACAAAGAACACAAATGAATGGAAAAGGTGAGACAAAGAAAAAAGCTTGAGAGAATTAATTGATATGTGATAGCCCCTAAGCATGGGCAGTGGAATAAGAACAATCTACACTTAGGGATTGAATAAAGTGTTTGTTTCAATATTCTAAAAAGGGTAGTAAGCATAAGGGTTACAAGAAGAGAGCCATAAAACACAACAGCTGAAACAGTGTGAGGACAATAACCAAGATGAGTGAACTAGTATGAAAGACATAATAAGGATACTGAAGCAGATATATTTTGTTAAAGCCCATTCTATAAATTTTTTTGTCTTAGTTAAAAGTATTTTATAGTCATAGTTTGTCATAGTTTTCCCTAAAATTTTTCTTGATATACAGGTACTACATCTTTTATAATATCAGACCCTGAAACTACGTACATGTTCAAACTGAAACAGCTGTATGGTCATTTAAGTGAAATTGTTTTGCTTAAGTTTTTTGATTTTTGATTTTTTTCTCTATGTACATTATAGTGGTGTGTACTTACATTTATTTGTTTAAGTATATATATGTCTAAATTTTGTCTGAATACATATATGTGAATATATGCATATGTGTAAGTGCATACATGTCTTTATCTTGTTTTATTTATACGTTTGTGTGTCTATACAAATGTCTAAACGGAGTGAAAATATAATTGTCTTCTTCAAGAGATATATTCATGTAGTTTAGAGAAATATGATTAGACTATAAATATTTGGAATGTACATAAGTAATAAATAAATTATACATGAGGTAAATATATATATCTTGGCAGGTGTGATAGGGTGGGATGTCTTCTTTCAAACCTGTCTGTAAATTAGAAATATCACATAAAGATGCAAATTTTTATGCATCTCTAAATGTATTTGCAATTGTGTAAATATGTATATTTATATGGGGGTAAGGATTTCTCTTTATTTATCTCAAATAAACAAAGTGTACATTATAACGCAAAGATTATGATTTGGGATAGGTTGAGCACCCTCATAACCCTTCAAGACTACTCGAAATTAAATGTGTATTACATGATAGAAATATTCTTCAGAGTAGGCTCCTCTATTGGATAATGGCCAGCGAATGAAAGTCTGTCATCCAGAGAGAGATGAGAAATAGTCATCACACTCTAACAACCTCCTGAGGAGACCCAGCATAAAAATAAGCACCAAATATGATTAAGCAAAAAAAGACAATCAGAATTTCTACTTCCTGAGTACAAACATTAGGTTTAAAACTCCCAAATAACACCACTGGATTGTTCAATAGATATATAGACAAGTATATTTGTTAATGCATATCAGCTTGCCTGGCAGTCAGTCCCTAGGTCATATATTTGGAATGTGTGGATGAAATAGACAAGGAACACAAATGAATGGAAAAGGTGAGACAAAGAAAAAGGCTTGAGAGAATTAATTGATATGTGATAGCCCCTAACCATGGGCAGTGGAATAAGAACAATCTACACTTAGGGATTGAATAAAGTGTTTGTTTCAATATTCTAAAAAGGGTAGTAAGCATAAGGGTTACAAGAAGAGAGCCATAAAACACAACAGCCGAAACAGTGTGAGGACAATAACCAAGATGAGTGAACTAGTATGAAAGACATAATAAGGAAACTGAAGCAGATATATTTTGTCAAATTAGATTAATTGAAAATTCTTTGGAAAACAGTGACTGAAACAAACAGGAATAAGCTCATTATAATATAGATATTCTCTTACTGAACTCATTGAATACTGAGTAGTTTGAAAATATATTTCCTTAACATTCCTACACATTTTTTTTATCATAATAAAAGGTGGACTTGGATGTATATATAATATGCTATATATATATATATATATATATATATATATATATATATATATATATATATATATGTATTTATGTATGTATGTATGTATGATATATATATATATATCATATATATATTCCACATATATATTCCATGTATATATATATATATATATATATATATATATATATATATTACTTTTAACCTTGACTTCATGTTCAGTCTTATATTATTTTAGTTGCCACCTGTGATCTTGGCAATAGAAAAGTGCTGACATTGTGCATCAACATCTTATTTTTTTGAACGGAGGAGCTAGCCTTTTTCTTTGTCTCACCTTTTCCATTCATCTGATTATGTTTGTGAGTAAGTTCTTGTATCCACTTGAGTGTATTTAATGCTTCTAGTTGATAAGTCAGGAGGATGGGTTAAAAAGACAGATGGTAAAGGAGGTATTTTTTTTTTCTTATCCCTTTGTTACAATATGGGTTTAATTATCGACCGGACTAAGTGATATATGGC